TTGGAAAAAAACGAAAAAGGAGCCGTTTTCTCATTTTTCTACTTTCAATATTAAATAAAAAAACGAATGATCGAAGGATACACAGATTATACAACTTCATCAATTTTTATTTTTGTCGCATTAGAGAACTGTCATGTACTTCCTTGATCAGTACATACTTGTAATATGTGTAATATGGAAATAGCATATTACTCAGATGACATTCCGTTTTCAAAACTGTGGTTTTAAACACACCCTCTTAAAAATAAAGGTTCCAAAAGCGGGTTTTCGCAACAATGCCACATAGGAGAACCATATTTGGTTCCTCTAAGAACCTTTCGATGAACGGTTCTTAAAAGAACCATTTTTTCTTGTTTCTTATTATCTTAATTATCTGTGAAACCTTTTTTCCATTATAAAGACCCTTTGGTGCAATGCAAATGTTCCATGGATGTTAAAGTTTTGTCATGGAACCATCAATGTCAATAGAGAAACTTTATTTTTAAGAGTGCACTGCTCCTAACATTGCATGCTATAAAAGGCAAACTGGGATTTAGTCTAAATATTGACATGTTTGAAATAACTTGCATATGTACATATGCATATGCATGTATTCACAATCTATGTAATGTCACAAATTTTCAGTTTGAGAATTTCAGCACATTTGATGATTTTTTTAGTTTTTACACCTCTGCTGTTTTCTAGCTGAACGCAAGCCTCCTCTCTTCAACATGAACGCTATGAGTGCCTTATACCACATCGCCCAAAACGACTCTCCCTCCTTACAGTCCAATGAGTGGTGAGTGTCCTTCTACACAATCACAAAACAGAAATATATATACTCCTACTTGTCAAACGTATATACTCTCTCAACCACGCACTCTTATCACACTTTAAATGTGTTATGCTATACCTCTGACCCCAACTGCCAGCTCTTTATAATTCATGATCTTGTGCATTAATGCACAAGCAAACTTTTGGTGCCCCTCAACTCTCTGACCTGCAGCAAAATGAAAGCCTGCTGGTCTTTCAAACAGTGTTGCCTTTAGTCAATAGATCTGGAAATTGAAAGGTTGTCTGAATGTGCCAGAATATTGTTGAGGGTGTCACACATTTACTCACAGATTTTATGTGAAGGAGATACGTACATGCAATACTTTTGCAGTGTACATAATAGTACAAGAAAGAATCCTTTCCGAAATTGAGAAAGATTATGTATGTTATAAAGTCAATATGAAGCCATATATATATATATATATATATATATATATATATATATATATGTACACACACACTACCTTAAATTTTTTATAAATGTTTTTAAAAGAAGTCTCTTAGGTTAATTAAAAATACAGGAAAAACAGTAATATTGTGATAAATTATTAAAATTTAAAATAACTGTTTTCTGTTTCAATAGATTTTAAAATGCAGTTTATTGCTGTGATACAAAACTGAATTTTCATCAGTCATTACTCCAGTCTTCAGAGTCACATGATCCTACAGAACACATTGTAATATGCTGATTTGCAGTGCAAGAAATAGTTATCAATTTTGATATGTTGATATTTATGCTGCTAAATATTTTTGTGTTTTTTTTTTTTTCAGGATGCTTTGAATAGTTCAAAAGAACAGGATTTTTTTTTTATAACATTTTTTGTAACATTATAAATATTTACTGTCACTTTGATCAGTTTAATGCACCCTTGCTCAATAAAAGTATTAATTTCTTTTGACAAAAAGAAAATCTTTACTGACCAATTTATAAGGTAATGTGAATGGTAGTGTATAAAGAACAGTTTATGCTTTGTTTTAAAAACATTTATTAACATGTAACACACTCAATGTTTACTGTAAATATTGCTTCAAGTATGTTTGTAATTTATTTGTACATTACAAAAGTGCATAATACTGTAACTGTTGTTTGTATTTTGTGAAGGTCGGATGCATTCCGGAGTTTCGTTGACTACTGCCTACTAAAAATTCCTCAGGACAGACCCTCCTCAGCAGAACTCCTGCGGGTGAGTAATCGCATTCACACAGTGTTGACACATATAAAGTCACTCATAAGCATTGCTCATCGAAGTTCAAGCACGACTTCTGAGTGCCCACACAATACTGTTAATTCATTCCCACTCTGAGTCACGTTCTGTTGCGTTTAGGCTCAGAAATGTAAACTTCTTAAGCAGCTTAATCTCACGTAGTGAGACCTTTGACAAATGGCATAGGATCAGGTCTACATTACAGCTGATTGTAGCAAAGAACTACAGAATTACACCGGAAGAGACTGTCTGCGATGTAAAGTGGTCAACCAGAGTTTTAGTTTTTACGTGTCACTTATGAGCAGGTTTATCAGAAATAGATACAGTCACAATAATAGACTTTCTTAGCAGTCTTCTTTTTTTTTTAGACGTGACATGTGACGTGACATGTGGCCAAGTATGGTGACCCATACTTGGAATTAGTGCTCTGCATTTAACCCATCCAAAGTGCACACACACAGCAGTGAACACACACACCGTGAACACACACCCGGAGTCTTCAAGAGCGGTTGCTTGAAAAGCATTAATTACCAGTGTGTGCAAACTAGCTAAACAAGCTTAATTTCTTGTGTTGTATTTCTGGAATTTGTCATTCATAAATTGTGCAATTCATAACACAAGTTCAGTGCTTCATTTTTATTTTTTTTTAAATAAATTAATACTTTCAATCAGCAAGGATGCATTAAAATGATCAAAGGTGAGAGTTTTACATTGTTTAAATTACAAAAAAAAACTATTTCAAATACATGCTGTTCTTTTGAACTTTCTATTCATCAAAGAAAAAAACATTGCTCATTGTTTCGCACAAAAATAATAAGCAGTACAACTGTTTTCAACATCGTAATAATAATAAATGTTTATGGAGCTATAAATCAGCTTTGCCATCACAGGAACAAATTACATTTTAAAATATATATAAAAAGAAAACAGTTATTTTAAATAGTAATAAGATTTGACAATATTGCTGCTTTTACTGTATTTTTATCAAATATATGCAGCCTTAAAAACATTTAAAAAAAAATCTTACAGACGTCAAGCTTTTGACCTGTAGTGTACATGTTGCATTTTCAGTGTTTCTGTGACAGGCTGTATAGCAGGCATTAGTATATATTGCTTTCTGGTTTTTCCCCCTTTTCATCTTGTTAGTTAAACTAGTGATATGTTTGTAGCACAGGAAACTCTGCTGTCCATTTGATTACAGAGTAACCGCCTTAGTAACGTACACCCACACATTCCCAAACCCCAGTTCATCATGTGTCATTTGTAAAAACGTCAATATCTGCACTTTCGAAGAGATAAAGACGCCCCTGTGCAGTTGGTTAGTGCACTTCCTCTTCGCCATATCTGTCAGTACTTCCTGCCCTCATGACAGTGGGTTCCTTACTCATCCATCCCTGCTGACTCACACTCATACACGTTTTCTTATGCACAGCCAAGCGCTCAACCCACAGAGTATGTCATTCTGCTTTCTGTTTTTTTCATTTGCTCACTTCCTGTGCCAACTACATCCTTGGAGGGTTAATAAAAGCAGGAGGAATTTTTGATTGTGCGTGTCTAACATAACTAATCTAACCATGACTTTCTCTCAACCGAATCACTGTGGCTGTAGGTGGACATATTGCTGCGCGGTGACTAATGTTCTTGATATCGTGCTGTGGTGGGAGGCTTATGGATTTAAATCATCACCGAAATAAATGTGTGATAGAATGTAAGCAGTACAGTTGGGATATGGTTGATTATTGGCTGCAGGGAAGCTCTGGATACTTGATCATTAAGGGATAGTGCTACCAATGTGATTTGTTTGTTTGTTTGTGCATTGTATGGGTCTGTTTGTGTGGGTGCATGTTACAGGTTACGGTTGATCTCATTGGTGGACACGGGTAATCCTATTTAGCCCTGAGAGCTTAGTGTCGATGGTAGGCGCTCACTTCAGGCACAACCTCACAAGGGGTGGGCCGCCCAGGGTGGAATGGGATACTGGCGTCTTTTTTTTTTTTTTGTTTGTTTTTTTATATATGCTCATGTTAAAATTTAAACGTTAAAATTCAGAAGTTGCAATGAAATCGTTAGCTCAAAAATGAAAATTTGCTGAAAATGTACAGTACTCACCCTTAGGCCATCCAAGATGTAGATGAGTTTGTTCTTAATGGGAACAGATTTGGAGAAATTTAGCATCTCATCACTTGCTCACCAATGGATCCTGTGTAGTTAATGGGTGCTGTCAGTCATTTCAGTCCAAACAACTGATAAAAACATCACAATAATCCACATTGTGATCGTGTGCATGAAACAAATCAATTTTTGGCTGAAATATTCCTTTAATTTTCTTGAGTATTTGTAGTATTCATGTATCTATTGTGCACTCATTTTAAACATTTTTAAACCCGAAAGCAGCAAAAAGTAACAAAATTACCAAAGACATCCATCTAGTGCATGTTCAACATGAAAACAACTGAAAAACAGCACAGATGGACCCACTTTCGACATGAATGGCTGCTTATTCACATGACATAGCAGTGGCTGAATTCTCAAAAAGTAGCCTTTAGTTTAATTTTTTTTGGTGAATATCCACTTCATCCAGTGCCATTTGTTCTCTGTGTATCTCGATACGGTGACCGTGGTTTCACCAAGTACAACATGTTCCTGGATCAACATCCTTGTTGATCCTGGAAGAACATTCCAATTAACCAATCAGAATTGAGGGATAACTTTACAGGAAATATCTGTTTTAGGCTTACAATCAGGGTTAGGTGCTTCTACACCCTTGGTAATCAGCTATCATTTCACACTGATTTTAGGAATAAATTATGGGTAGGGTTAGGTTTAGGGGTAGGGATTGGGTTTAGTCTATATTTTTGGACTAGGCCTATATCCAGGATCAACAAAAGAATTGTATCAGACTGTTTTGCAAACTCGTTTGGCCAATTCACTAAAAAGAAAAAACTGACTCAAAATAATAATGACTAAATCAGTCATCCAAAATTTGGGTCATGCATGATCACCGATAATTTCATGGAAAACCTTTGTCAGATCAGTCTGAGAGCTCATGGTTCATACAGCCAAACAGCTGCAGGCGCCACTGGTCTTTTCTGCAACCTAGTCCATGCAGATGTTGAAACTGGGGGAAAAAATTAATTTCGACCCAGTTTTGCTCTCCCATTTCTCTCTTAATACCTCAAGACTGTCCTTTCAAGCTCCTTAAAACCGAAAAGAGGTCATTAATCTGAGTCTAGCATTCATTTATTCTGTTCCCACCATTTGCCGTGTCCCAACTGCTGTCTTAATCTCATATGGGGTCTAAATCCACCTCAATTCTTGACCTATAGAGGTCTTGTCGATTTAGAACGAGCAGTGGATATCACTCACGATCTGACAGTTAGCGCTGACTCTCTGCAAGACTTCAGATTATGTAATTTCCTCCATTTAAATGGGATAATCCTGTAGATTAGATTCCTCCCATGCTGGTCAGTCACAGATGCCCGTTTAGAGTGGTGAATGCTTATCTATGTTATCATCGGGAAGCCGAGCTGTTAGCTGTTACTGTCTTTGCTGAGCTTAACGGTTGAGCCGTTTGCTCTACAGTGTTTTACCCGCTCGCAGCACAGACATGACCTGCTTAAACTAAATGTGTTGTCAACTAAATTTGTGATTCCATTCCAAATCACTCTCCATGGATGTTGACAGAGTGGTTAACATTTATCAAGAGTTATTGAAAGCAATCAAAGTGTGAACCAATGTTGATTAGGCTTCCAAGATGGGTTTATGCTTTAGAGTTGTTTAGATTTTGTCAAATGACTGAAAAATTGGTTTTGTTGACTGTTAATGAACATTTATAATTAACCAGTCCACCTTGAACAATTTAGCTTTTTCAATCATTCACAAGTTTTGGGTTGGTGAGATATCTTGTATGCTCACCAAGGCTGCATTTATTTGATTAAAAATACAGTAAAAACAGTAATATTTTGAAATATTATTACAATTTAAAACTGATTTCTGTTTTGATATATTTTAAAATATTATTTATTCCTGTGATTCAAAGCTGAATTTTCAGCATCATTACCGCAGTCTTCAGTGTCACACGATCCTTCAGAAATCATTCTAATATGCTGATTTGGTGCTCAAGAAACATGTCGTATTAGAACATTCCAATTAACCAATCAGAATTGAGGGATAACTTTACAGGAAATATCTGTTTTAGGCTTACAATCAGGGTTAGGTGCTTCTACACCCTTGGTAATCAGCTATCATTTCACACTGATTTTAGGAATAAATTATGGGTAGGGTTAGGTTTAGGGGTAGGGATTGGGTTTAGTCTATATTTTTGGACTAGGCCTATATCCAGGATCAACAAAAGAATTGTATCAGACTGTTTTGCAAACTCGTTTGGCCAATTCACTAAAAAGAAAAAACTGACTCAAAATAATAATGACTAAATCAGTCATCCAAAATTTGGGTCATGCATGATCACCGATAATTTCATGGAAAACCTTTGTCAGATCAGTCTGAGAGCTCATGGTTCATACAGCCAAACAGCTGCAGGCGCCACTGGTCTTTTCTGCAACCTAGTCCATGCAGATGTTGAAACTGGGGGAAAAAATTAATTTCGACCCAGTTTTGCTCTCCCATTTCTCTCTTAATACCTCAAGACTGTCCTTTCAAGCTCCTTAAGACCGAAAAGAGGTCATTAATCTGAGTCTAGCATTCATTTATTCTGTTCCCACCATTTGCCGTGTCCCAACTGCTGTCTTAATCTCATATGGGGTCTAAATCCACCTCAATTCTTGACCTATAGAGGTCTTGTCGATTTAGAACGAGCAGTGGATATCACTCACGATCTGACAGTTAGCGCTGACTCTCTGCAAGACTTCAGATTATGTAATTTCCTCCATTTAAATGGGATAATCCTGTAGATTAGATTCCTCCCATGCTGGTCAGTCACAGATGCCCGTTTAGAGTGGTGAATGCTTATCTATGTTATCATCGGGAAGCCGAGCTGTTAGCTGTTACTGTCTTTGCTGAGCTTAACGGTTGAGCCGTTTGCTCTACAGTGTTTTACCCGCTCGCAGCACAGACATGACCTGCTTAAACTAAATGTGTTGTCAACTAAATTTGTGATTCCATTCCAAATCACTCTCCATGGATGTTGACAGAGTGGTTAACATTTATCAAGAGTTATTGAAAGCAATCAAAGTGTGAACCAATGTTGATTAGGCTTCCAAGATGGGTTTATGCTTTAGAGTTGTTTAGATTTTGTCAAATGACTGAAAAATTGGTTTTGTTGACTGTTAATGAACATTTATAATTAACCAGTCCACCTTGAACAATTTAGCTTTTTCAATCATTCACAAGTTTTGGGTTGGTGAGATATCTTGTATGCTCACCAAGGCTGCATTTATTTGATTAAAAATACAGTAAAAACAGTAATATTTTGAAATATTATTACAATTTAAAACTGATTTCTGTTTTGATATATTTTAAAATATTATTTATTCCTGTGATTCAAAGCTGAATTTTCAGCATCATTACCGCAGTCTTCAGTGTCACACGATCCTTCAGAAATCATTCTAATATGCTGATTTGGTGCTCAAGAAACATGTCGTATTATTATCAGTGTTGAAAACTGTTATGCTGCTTAATATTTTTGTCAGGATTGTTATTTTTTCCAGGATTCTTTGATGAATAGAAAAATCAAATGAATAAGTGGAATTTAGAGCAGTCAACTTTATTTTTTACAGTTAATAAATGTTTAGAATTAACCAGTCCACCTCAAACAGTCCAATAAGAAAGCGTATTCCTTTAGAGTAAAAGATATATTGTCAAATGAATAACATGTATTAACTTAACAACAAAGCCATGCAAAAACAAGGAACCAGTCTACTTTGATCAGGTTTATGAGAATGGTTTATGACTGGAAATACAAAAAAAATTACCAAGAAGAAGAGTTTTAGAGTAGGTGCATAAAAGAAGATCTTCATGATGCATGTTTTAGAGGAAAAGTTGCTGTAAAGAGTCCCAGAAGGAGGATTTACCGTAAATATTCAAGAGTGGCTGTTTCGAGGAATCGGACAGGCTTTGATTTGGATTTTGGATTGTCCTTCTAACAGTTTTCTCCCAAATAAATAAATGAATAAATGACTCCCAGTTGGCCCAGTTGAGTAATGGAAAGAACTGCAACACGACCAATTAGTTTTCAAAGACTCTTGGTTTGTGGTTTACGGAGCACGGTTTTGCGAACCCAGTTAACATGCACACATGCAGCCACTTGTGACTCGAGTCTGTTGTCTTTTTATTTCCATTGAGGAGGTGAGATCAAGTCCTCATTTAGCCAGCCATGTCAGACACCCTCCTCCATGTGACATATGTCCACTCAAGGCCACATTACACATGAGCACCCTCTGGTGAGCAAAGGGCGAACACGAAATGACGTAATTCAGAGCGCAAGTGGAGTAATCTGGCATGCTGAGAGGATTGAGACTGTGGGTTTATTTCATGGCAGTTGAATTGCATCATGCTTAACCCCCAAATTTTACTCCTAAAATATTTGCTTTTGTGAAATGAATGCAGTTTGTGTAGTTTTTAGGTGAACACAGGGCCAAATAAAAACACATTTTCCTCTTAGCGAGCCATAAATTGATATAAAACCCAGAATCTGAGGGTGAAGTCTGATTGATCGGGATGTTTACACACAGAAGCTGTGTTTGTACATTTGATCATCACGTATTGCTCTTTTCATTTGCCTTAGCAAGGTTAAAATTGCAAAAACATTTAATTTAAAAAATGCACTCTCTGTCCCTCTTTGTCCGTTCCAGCATGAGTTTGTGAGGAGAGAGCGTCCTACACGGGTCCTCATCGATCTGATCCAGAGGACGAAGGATGCAGTCAGAGAGCTGGACAACCTGCAGTACCGTAAAATGAAAAAAATCCTCTACCAAGAGAAACACAACGGCCCAATGGGGGAGTCTCAGGAAGAGGAGGAGGTGGGTACAGGAAATACTCTGAGAAATAAAAGGCCCCCTTGAGTGTCATACACACGTTGACTTCATACTGCCTGTGTGAGTTTCATAGTGGTCAGCGTGCTTCCTGCTGTTGCATGTGGCTACATGTTATACACAACAGCCACTGGTTTCTCTTGCTTAAAAATGTCCTTTACATGTTTGCCACCTATGCTTTGTTAACATCAGTTTTGAGTTATCAGAAAAAATTGTGATTACAGATGGATATCATGTCAGTCTTTCCATTTTAATGGATGGATAGACAAAAAGGGCCCCAACTAGACTGAAGAGATAATAAACTAAACTTGACTACATTATAAATAATTTACTTAAAAGTATATTGTATCATATACAGTACTAGACTGAATTATGAACTATATTAAACTAAACTGAAGGTACTATATAGTTCAGTAAGGATGCATTAAATTGATCAGAAGTGAAAGTAAAGATACTTGCATTTCTAAATAATAATAATAATAAATACATAATCTATCTCAAATTAAGATTCCTGGAACAAAATGTGTAATGGTTTCCAGTGACTGGAGTAATGGCTGCTGAAAATTCAACTTTGCCTTCGCAGGAATAAATTACATTTTAAAATGTACTAAAATAAAAAACGATTATTTTAAATTATAACAATATTTCACAAAATTACCATTTTTACTATGCTTTTCATCAAATAAATGCAGCCTTGGGGAGCATAAGAGACTTTTTCAAAAACAATAAGTTGTAAAAAATAATCTTACTGACCCCAAATTTAACCCCAAATTGAAATAAACTTAAGGTATAACTATATACTATACTAAACTCTCGCTTAGGATGAAAACATCTGCTAAATGCGTAAATGTAATAACCTACTGAACTATAGTGAAAATATACTAAACTTAAGTGTAGATATATTTAAAATTTGATACTATACTGAACTATCTACTATACAGAACAACTATATATTTTACGGAAGTATATACTGCAGACTACTGAATTGCAACGAAAAGTACATGGAACTATATGTTTTCTTGAACTACGTTAAAGGTAGGACTACACACTATTTTGAACAACATTGAACTATTAAGTGGCAGGAGGGCTTTCAGTAATGGTGTGAATGTGTCTCTGTTCAACAAATAACTGCTATTACAGGCCTTGCAATGAGATGTGTAAAGTGCTTTTAGTAATTGAAATAAATATGGGTTTTCAAAAAGGATGGTGATCAGTTTCTCTGTGTGTATTTCTCTGTCTTTTGCACAGGATGGCGATCAGGCAGGCTGTAAGATGAACAGTTTGGGCAGTAATCATTCCATCCCCAGCACCTCCGTTAGCACCGGCAGTCAGAGCAGCAGCGTCAACAGCCTGCAGGAGGTGCCAGATGACTCCTGCTCCGAGCTGCACCACGACTACGACAGCACCCTAGAGTCTTCCACGCGCCACAAAAAGGTCCCAGACATACACACCTTCAGAAATCTCCCAAACTTTTAAAAATGCAGTGCAGTCCTTTTTTTATTTTTCATTTTTAAATGCTTACCATACTTTGATGCTGACAAACAAAAATAGAACATATGCTTTCCAGACCAGACTATGTTTTTCTCTCTCAGTCAAGCTATTTAAATCGCAGAAGACTGGCTTGTTACAATTTTAATGGTACACGCAGACTTTCAGGGCACAGAGAAGGTATACTTAAAGTTAATAGTAGATTTAATGTTCTCTTAAAATATAAAGTTCACCAAATGTGCTTGAGACTGCAATATACTGTATAGTAAGTAAGTGCTATAGGAACTAAAACTGTTGTTCCTTGTGGTTAAATTGTGCTTGTCTAACAACACTCAGGCAAATAATTTTCGCAGTTGTTGCAAGTATGTCATAGTCAAAGAACATAAGAGTCAAAAGTCAATGACAACATGTTTATACTATGGCTACACAATTTATCGAAATAAAACTGAAATTGTGCGATAGATAAGTGCAATTTGTAAATCACAAAGGCTGCAGTTTAATTTAACAAATATGCAAACATCCATGAACATTAATATTGTAATTTTACAGTTGTACTGTAAAATATTATTTGTATTGTTATTTTTCTTAAATACTTCATTTTTTTACTGTGAAATATTTTGTAATTTTTTTTATTTGATAATAATAATAATATTATAATAATATTATTATTGTTGTTGTCATTGACATAAAATCACACATTTTGGGGGCAAATTGTGAAGCCCTACAAACAAGTACAGTCAATCAGCTTTTTTATTGCTTTTTAAATAGCATGTTATTTAAATAGCAATAACATGCTCTGAAAGTATGTGATTTTGGAAGTTCACATCCACTTGCACACACGTGATTGACTGATTGACACTTCCTGTCCTCAAGGAAATTACATCAGCATTCAGGAGAAATATGTATTGACTTTAGGGGAACTGAACAGCTTTCATTGTGCTCACTGAGAGAAGACAAAACCCTCAGGAATATGAACGCTTCAGGTGGACTAAGCTTGTGGGTCAATTAATGAAGATATTTTAAGATAGCGAGCCTGTTGGTATTGAATATTCTCATGCTGAATTGTCTCTGCTGATCCTACAGCAACAGGAAATAAAACTCCTGCTGCGGCTCTGATAGGGAAGATGTATAGCTTGAATGGACCACAAGTCGCTTCGGATAAATCCTCAAGAGATTATGTTGTGACACCAAATCCTTGACTGGTTTTATGTGCTTTTTGTCCTCAGGATCATCAGTATATCCCTGATGACGTTCCTCATCGGGACCACCGGTCGGACCTGCGACCGTCCTCATCGGAAAGAGCTCAGGCTCATAATTATAAAAACCGTGAGCGCTTCGCCACCATCAAGTCAGCCTCACTGGTGAGGAAAAAGAATGACATCATCCTTACTGTCATCCTCTCATCCCCCCTCCTCTCCTGCTTTACTCTTTCTTTTTCTTTCATCCTTTTGCTTTAATACACTGCGGTCATTTCTCTCTTTCTCTCGCTCTCTCTCTGTGGTCTTTGCCTCCTTTTCCCGTTTAACCCTCTCTTTATTTGACACAACGGTTTGAGACAAAAACAGTCCTACTTTTCTCCTTCACTCTCACGTCTGTTGTCAAGGCAACTTGATTCAGTCAATAGCCAGCTGCACTCCTAACACGAGTCATTGGCGTTGTTGTCTACTATTAGTTAAGACGTTATGATCCAACACAAAAGGATATTCTTAGTCCTGTAGGGTTTCGGGAAAAATCTCCGTTTTTGGTCAATGTCAGACATTTACTACACAAATAAAGAATCCATTATGCTATTAAGCATGAAAAATAATCTATTGTGATACAACCACTTCCACCCTAATTGATGAATAAATGGAGATCACGGGCAGGCAATGTAGTCGATCCCAGTATGCTTGGTTTAAATGATGATGTCACTTGTTTTTGCCCCGTTTCGCTGGAGTATGAGCACCCTCTAGGGGCAGACAACCGCAGTGGACTTTGTCTGATACTACAGACACTCATCTATCATTTCAGATGATCACAAAGGAGTTTGGCTTTAGTGGGTTTATGGGCATGGTGCACCGTCCTATTTTTTATTTTTTTTCCATCGACTTGTTGGTGGAATCAAGTGTGCACTTTTTATTTATTGATACAGGTTTTTACTGTTGTGTGGAATGAGACTCAAGGATCTGGGCTATGCAGGGAAAGATACTCTCTTTGTGTTTCATATGGAAAGCTGTAGAGGAGGGGTGAGGTGTAGAAAGAAAGTGAGACAGGAAAAAGGAGGGAAGACAAAAGGCAGAAGGTGAGAGGGGAAGACGTATTGAATGAATGAAATTATGTAGATTTATTGGCAAAACTATAGGAATGAAAGGGAACGTGAGAATGTCTTAGATGCATAAGAACAGAGGTTTGTTACAGGTTGTAAATGTACTATCTGATAATGTACTAACTAGAGAGAGTACTAAATGTAGATAGTATTAAATGTACTATCTCCAGTTGATGGCCTACATATAGCTCACATTTTTGTTTCTTTGTTTCGTTCTCCAGCCATTTTTTATTTTGTTGTTTCCTGCTCAGTTTGGATTTACATTGGCTCCTCAGCTTTCTTTCAAAACCTAGTGTACTACCATGCTGTCTACTCCCTACATAGGCTGTCACGTTCTAAGGCAGCATCCTAACAGTCATAGAATCTCTTAAGCGCTCTTGGAAAAGTCATATTTCTGCAGAATATACGATCATCATTCACAAAGTTCCACAGCCACGCTTTGTGACTGATTTCATAATAACTGTAGTTACTAATAAGAATGTAGTTCTCTTAGTCTTTTTACAAGTGATAAAGCCATTATTTGTACCCAAAAAATATGCAAATGTGATTTTCTGTCTGGGTCTGCCCATAAGTGGCTGATCTACATGGGCAGCAACTCTGCAAGTCTCTGGTGTTCATGTGAGGAGAGCTGTTTGTGTGGTCCAAATACCTCATTTCACAAAAAAACACACCAAAGACTTGACTCATAATTGATTCCAATAGAATTTTACATTAGCTTTTGCCAAATTAAAGCATGATTCCCTAATAAACGTACAGTTATGCAACCGTTCAAAAGTTTGGGATTTTTTTTTAAAGAATTCTCATTGCCAGGCTGCATTTATTTTATCATTTAGTAAAACAGTAATATTGTGAAATGGTATTACATTTTAAAATAACTGTTCATTTTAAAAAGTAATTTATTCCTGTGATGGCAATGCTGATTTTTCAGCAGCTGTTACTCTAGTCTTCAGTGTCACATGATCTTTCAGAAATCATTCTGATATGCTGATTTGTTGCTCAAGAAAGAATAAAGAGAACGTTCAAAAGAACAGCAATTATTTTGTAACATTATAAGTCTTTACATTTTTGATCAGTGTAATGCGTCCTTGCTGAATAAAAGTATAAATTTCTTAAAAAAAAAAAAAAAAAAACTGACCTTAAATGTAATAGTACCAAAGTGACCAAAGACCGCATTTTATTGGAATATAGTTCATTGATGATATTTCTCACAACTCGTCTGCAACCTTAGGTAATATTTTTCACTAACTTTGTTGCAGTGCATTCTGGGATTGCATTTGAGTGAGGGATGTATCCGATGCTGCTTTAGAAGGCAGCTTCTACATATCGTAGAAGGAATTTTTAGCATAATTATCCTAAAAACAAATAAGTCAGGGTGATGTTGATTATAAATAGCTACATTTTGTTCAGTATTAAAACGTATCAATTAAAAAAAATTGCCGCCTTGCCTTTCCACCGAGCTTTAAAATGCCCGTTGAACACATTAACACCTCATGCCATGTAAGCATGTATTAAGATTTGATTTGAAATGGTCAGAAGTTGAATTTGAAACCAGTTAGTGTGCCCATCTGTGTTACCTTTAACCTGGAAGTGCTTCTGTCACTCCTTCCCATTCTTCCTGTGCCACCGGGGTTTAGTGCTATCACATGCCCCTTTGGTGTGGCTGATAGGGGCATTTGGGCAGCAAGCGATTGGATTTGGTGACTGAGGTTACAGTGGGGCTACTGATTCAGGGTGATTAGGAAATTTCCCCCTTCAACAGGCATCTCATGTGACTGGCCTACTAAACGCTGCTTAGCCCATGTGCAGGGCCAGGCCTCTCTGAGAACCTCATTCATTCACGGCGCACCTGCGAGGAGAGAGGAGAAGCAGTGTTCGTGTCCTCTCTCTTTATCCCCATCCCTCTCTCGCTCTCTCTTTCTCTCCTGGTGGGTTATGAGCGAGTGCTTTTGGGGGATGTAGTGCAGGCGACTCTCAATGTTCTCACGGGTTGTTTATTTCGCCAACATGTTTGGCTTGAGGAATTCAGGTGGGAGTTACGAGAAACTCAACGAACAGTTTGATCTGGACACGCCCTTCTTCCAGGTTTGTCTTCCGGGGATTTGCAGAAATCAAGGGAACGGTGGGGTTTTTCTGATTTCATTTATATATTTAGTGGCATCTATGACCTTTCAGATCTAGAAAATGCACAAAGGCAATGTTGAGATGTGTAATTTTCACAATTGCAACTTTTCCTCTTATTGCAGTTCAATTAATAATTATCCTTTGTTTTGATGGACTAGATGGTCAATTTTCCATCATGCTCTATTTTAATTTGTCCGTGTAATAATATAGTGCTATAGTGCTTGCTGTCATGTGCCTTTGATGTCACAAGAACGTTTAGTCTTATCAATTGCTTTGCTGTAGAGTTCATGGCTTTTTCTGGTTATTCTGCTCTCATATAATGTGAGAAGATGACACTGATCATCTTGTGATCTGGTTACACAATTCAATGGACATTATCTAATGACTTATTCCACTGGACTATTTCTCGTTTCTCTTTCCGGATCCTCACATTTCCCGAGATATTTTCATGGGGATGCTTTAGAAACATTCCCACAGGTGACAGTCCAAAAGGTGCCAATAGGGATTAAAAATGGACAAAATTGGGAGAAATTTTCAAGAAGGGAAATGCATGTAACCTGATACCTAATTTTGAATGATCTGACAATGTCTTAAAATTTCCACCATTTACCAAATTTGTAGAGTTAGCACAACCTTTGGTCACCATCATTCAGTCGTCAGTTCTTCCCAAGAACTGTGGGTTGATTTTGCTACACTGACAAAATCTCATCATAATCATCTCAAAAGTTCACCTTCACTGACCAAGTTCTTTTCCATCTAGGTAACGCGTCAGATCCACGAACATGAGCAGGAAAATGAGCTCCGAGAGCAGATGTCCGGGTACAAACGCATGCGACGGCAACACCAGAAGCAGCTGATTGCTCTGGAGAACAAGCTGAAGGCAGAGATGGATGAGCACAGACTGAAGCTCCAAAAAGAACTGGAAACCCACGCCAACAATGCCTTCATTGAGCTGGAGAAACTTGCCAAGAAGCACGCCATCCAAACGGACAAAGAAGTGGGTGATCGTTCTTTATTCTTCTACTGAGATCCAAAGAGTTTATAGTTACTATCCAATCAAATATTGGTCAATTAAAATAGACATGATGTTGACTGAAAACAGTGATTGGCCAAAATATCATTACATTAACCTCTTAACGATAAATTCTGTTATAAAATCTCTGTACAAAGTTGAAAAAAGAAATTAGTTCAAAAGTTCATGTAGATCATGTGAAAACTGCCCCAATTTATATTATTATTTTCCATATTGCATGTTAAACATGTAAATAGCCAAGGGATGCATGCTAATTATTCATGTAGCATATGTTGATTAGTATGTTAATGAAGCCAGAGAAGAAAATGGAACTGTGTGGTTTTAGTTCATTTTCCTCAGGAGTTGTTTTAACATAAAAAAAAAAATCTGTCACACACTGAAGTTGCAATGAAATTTACAGTGATATTAATGATAAATCTGTGTTATGTTCCTCAGATGAAAACACTGGGAGCTGATGAGAAGAAGTTCCAGCAGCAAATCATGGCTCAGCAGAAGAAAGAGCTCACCAACTTCCTTGATAACCAGAAGAAACAGTATAAGCTGTGCAAGGAGAAGATCAAAGAGGTTCTTGTCTAATTCCTACAAGTTGAAACTAAAATTGACCCCATTTACAAGAAAATTAATATTATTCCAAAGAAAATTTTCAACTTTCAACTTATCAAGCCAACTATTTTTTTTATTTCTTTCCCAGCTGCGTCTTATAGAAAAGACTTTGATCCAATTAAGGGGAGACACTGCAGGCAAAAACAGTTTTTTTCATGCACCTGTCAAGTTTGAGATTTTGGGCTTTTTGGTTGTTCATAGTGTTTTTTCAGACTAGTGGAAAAAAAACATCCAAAAGACACTGTTAATTGTTTCTTTTATAGCACTTTATCTATTTGTGTCAATAGATTTCAATTACAATACGTATTTTTAAAGGCCGTTTTCTCAAAATGGGTTTTTTCTCCTACACTGAGCCATAAATCTCCACTTCAGTAGCACTTACACACACCGAACTGTACATTTTTATTCCTGTCTATATCCTGAAGGTTTTTACAGAGGGATTTGTTCGTATATTATTTGCTTGATTATATACAACATTCTATTCCCCCCAAAATTGTGAAAATGTAGTGTTTTCTGTCCGTTCTAAGCATTTTCTGAATTATGGAGTGGAAAAAAATGAGATTTCCCTCTGTAAAAACTTTTGACTCTAATTAATATGTAAAAAAATTAAACAAGAATTTTGAAACTGACATCATCCAGTGTTTAGATTTTTGTACTAGAAATGTATGCAAATTAGCACATATTTCATTAAATAAATTACTAATTTGCATATTTAAACCTAACATTTTAGAAAACTTGTAATACAAAAAATGTTTGCAATTATCAATGTAATCAATCAGCTGGGTAAGGCGATAACTATTAGTTTTTTTTTTTTTACCCTATTCACCTGCAGTGTCTCGCCTTAATAAAATCAAGTCCTGCCGTACGTTTTTATTTTTTACCAAAAATTTGGTATAGAAAAACACCACATTACGGGAATAAAATGGGTTGCAAATGCCTTTTCATATTGACTTAAAAAGGGTTGTTCTTGAGAATAAAAATAAGTTTTAGTCTAAAATCACCTTCTTTATATTCCTTTTTCTCTTTTCATGGTGCTTATGATTCTTTGTTCAGGAAATGAGTGAAGACCACAGCACGCCTAAGAAAGAGAAGCAGGAGAGGCTGTCCAAGCACAAGGAGAACATTCAGCACTCTCAGGCTGAAGAAGAGGCTCAGCTTCTGGGTCAGCAGAGGGCTTTCTACGATAGGAACTGCAGGGCCTTCAAACGCAAGATCATGGTCAAGAGGCACGAGTTTGAGCAGGAGCAGTTACGAGAGGTGGGGATGAAATGCTTCAAGTCAGAAAAAGAGACAAAAGATTGCTTGGCACTCTGAAATTTGTGTATTTCAAAGTTTTGGGGTCAGTAAGATTGTTGTTTGTTGTTGTTGTTGTTTTAAATAAATTAATTAACACATAAAGAAATGTATAATGTTACAGAATATTTCAAGATTGATAATACTAAATGTTTCTTGAGCACCAAATTTTACAATATTACTATTTTTACAATATTACTAGTTTTTAATGAAAGAAATGCAGCCTTGGTGAGCATAAGAATTTGTTTTTTTTTAAATAAATCTTACTGGCCCTACACTTTTGAATGGTAGTGTGTATGAATATGTATATATACAAGATAAACACATGAAGGCTTTTCCCAGGGTTACTGCAAAATTTAAACCATTTCTCAGGGTTGATGACTGTTTTCAATTTATCTGATTTGAAAATAAGTAATGCAGCAATGTGCAAATCTCTTAATCTAATGCTTTACTCTGCAGGAAAACTTCGGAAGTTTTACTGGGTCTAAACCCATATATGGCCTATAAAACAACAAATATGATGATGCATAATCCAGTGGTTTGCAAACCTGGTCCAAGTGTTGGATGTCTTCCCTATTTGGTTCTGGTCTCAAAGCCTCTACTAATGTGACTCACTTGCATATCAACACCTTTTTTTATTGTGTTTCATTCATGTGATCATACCTTTTACTGTTGTAACCTTTGCTTACTAAGGCAAGCTATTAGTATTATTGTTGTTGTGCATACTTTTTATTAGGGGTTTGTTTTAAACCACTAACTTTGTTCTGTAACTCGTCCCACGGAAGAATCACGTTGAAGAGGTGTTTGCTATTACTGTAGATGAAAAACAAAAAACATTACATTTATATTGAAGGAGGTATCCCTGCCATATCTAGTGACCAGAATATCATAATTTAAGAGATTACATAGAGACCGGTTCTTTTGGGCAACTAAACAATCACCTGTTAACCACAAAGAACACCCTAACAACCTAGAAGTGCCACAGACCTTGGCAAGTGTCCACATAGGATTTGGCTAGAAAAAAGTCATAATACCTTAGCAAACACCCTGGCATTGTGGTGGCAACTTTTGTACAGGAAAACACCACTCATTTTCTTAAGGATATGTAAAAATCCAGTTTTTAATATTAGTAGATTTAAAAGAGACCTTATTATTTGATTGACTTAATATTGTAATATTAATTTCTGTCTTTCTGTCTGTCAGGAGTTGAATAAGAAGAAGACCCAGAAGGAAATGGAGCACGCTATGTTGATCAGGCAAGACGAGTCGACTCAAGAACTTGAGCACAGACAGCTGAAGACGCTACAGAAACTTCGCATGGATCTGATTCGACTGCAGCACCAAACGGAGCTGGAGAACCAGATCGAATACAACAACCGGAGAGAGAGAGAACTGCACAGGAAACATGTGCTCGAACTACGGCAGCAGCCCAAGAACCTCAAGGTACCACCAACTCTGGCAAAAAAAGCATTTCTTATTACTTGGCTATATATAGTGTTAATTTAACCTACAAAATCTATGTAGGTCTCATTGTTTCTCTGAGTGTGATTGCAAAATTAACTGGGTAGATATTATGAACATTAGCGGGTCAGTCAAGACTGATGATAGTGCTGATCATCAGTCTGATGATTTCGGTATGACCAAAAATTTATATCACGGTATTTTTCAAAATTATACCGGTTTCACGGTACAAGACGGTATTTTATTTTTCATGCATGACCGGGTGTTAACCATATTTTCTACTGATTTGCTAAATCTAGTGCTAAAGTCACGCTCGTGTGTGTGTGTGAGAGACGCGGGAGCTGATGGCAGGGAGCGTTGGAAATTTGTGGCAGTCAATGTGGATATTGTGGAGTTCTTCTGTGTCATCACGTTCTATTAGTTCTACAGCTTCAGTTAAGGAAACTTTCACGCTTAGTAACACATACAGCTGTTCCCTCACCACAGTGCAACAGTGAAAAGGGACCCCTTTCAAACAGTGTCGCGTTCCGAACGTTGTTTAAGCGACATACACCAGTATTGCAGTATTTAAAAAATTCATATCATAACAAAAAATAAACATTCGGTATGTATTCCGAATTATTCGGTATGAACTGGTATACCGCCCAGCACTAACTGATGATGCTTTGATGTCTTCATCTGAGAAACATTTAACATTTAAACATTACATTGCATAGGTACTCGGCTCATTTTAATATAAAAAAGCACTTTACAACACTTTACAATAAGGTTCAATTTATTAACATTAGTTAATGTTAGATAACAAGCTAACAATGAAAAATACGATTACACTTTATTTTAAGGTGTTCTTGTTACAGTGTAATTATACATTTAAGTACTGAGTAATATTAATTAACTACATGTACTTACTATATTTTGCTTCATTTCACATCCTTTGAGGCAAAACGCATATTAGATCATTATTTTTGTCCTGAAAAGGCTGTCAGTTTGGGTTTATTCAACTTGGAGTCTTGTATCCTGCAGGCTATGGAGCTTCAGATAAAGAAACAGTTCCAGGATACGTGTAAAGTCCAGACTAAACAGTACAAGGCCCTGCGGCACCATCAGCTAGAGGTGACCCCCAAAAGCGAGCACAAGATGGTGCTGAAAGCCCTGAAGGATGAGCAAACACGCAAACTGGCCATCCTGGCTGAGCAGTATGAGCAGAGCATCAACGAGATGATGGCATCACAGGCAGTGAGTGAAGAAACAACTCTGTTAATCATTATAGAGGCCAATGAGTTCACATCAACCATATATTCTAATGTCTATGTGAGATAATTATAGGAATAGACACTTGGAATATCATTGACAAAACATTTAATGTCCATAATGTGACATTTTCGAGAGAAAAAGAATAAATGGTGGATAATAATTTGTCATTTGTAATATTTGTAATGGTGTTTGCTAAAGTATATAGAGTGCAGCAGTCGGGTTCTAGAAGTAAAAACTCCATTCATTTTCTCCATAAGGATTTGATTTTTAACGACTACTTATAAACCTGTAAAGAAATACTGTTCCAAGGTTGTTAATCAATGGTGTATGCTTTTCTTGAAGCCATCCATTTGCATTATTGCAACTTGTTTTAAAGTATTTCTTTAACATCTGAATTACCCAGCTAAAACTACATTACCCATAATGCTATATAGAAAATTCCACCAATCAGAGTTGTAGAGAGCAAATTGCACCAAAAGCGCTCTTTGAGGAAAGCCCTCTCCCGTCTCAAATATTTAATATCAAATAAATATTATTATCTGAATTTTTTGCTTCAGATAAAAGTTTGTAATGTTATAATTCACCTTGTAGCTGGTTGGCTTGGTTCATGACTTCTAACACTATAATGGAGACTTTTTTCAAATCCTTATGGGAAAATGAATGGAAAAAATGAAAAGTGGACAGTCACTAAAGCACTCTGTTAAAGTAAAGGTTAAATTTGATTTCATCTTTAAGATGCAACAAAATTTGTTATTTATAACCCATTCTGGAAAAGCTAATGTGAGCATTTGTTTTGTTGATAGTTCGTATAGATTTATATTTAACATAAAAAAAATAAATAAAAAAAAGCAATAACTGTTTGAAATTCCAGTCTCGGACTGTTGCCCGTACAAGAAGGCCATTGATGGTTAACCACAACTGTGCTGTAGTGTAAACCTTCTGAAGCTGACGTGCGCACGTGTGTGTTTTTGTGTAGCTCCGTCTGGATGAGGCTCAGGAGGCGGAGTGCCAGGCACTGAGGCAGCAGCTGCAGCAGGAGATGGAGTTGCTCAATGCGTACCAGAGCAAGATCAAAATTCAGACCGAGGCTCAGCACGAGCGCGAGCAACAGAAACTGGAGCAGAAAGTCTCACTGCGCCGAGCACACCTTGAACAGAAGGTCTAGTCCTGTTATTAACCTCTTATGTACCCACACTCTAACTCTTATCATTAATAGTGGTCTGCCAATATAGGTTTTTCAATGGCCAAACTAGAGAGCAGAGTATTTAGGTAGCAGTTTATATAAATATAATTTAATATAACATTTAATAAAATGCACAGTTGCTTTATTTGCGCATTTGTTTTCAATATTGATAAATGTTTCTTGAGCAGCAAATCAGTATATTAGAATGATTTCTGAAGGATCATGTGACACTGAAGACTGGAGTAATGATGCTGAAAATTCAGCTTTGCATCACAGGAATGAATTACATTTTAAAATGTAAAATAAAACGGAAGATTTTTCTTTCAAACTGTAATATTTAACAATATTGCTGTTTTTACTGAAACTTTATATATTTAATAAAGTATTATATGTTAAGCAATATGTGTTATATATAAATATTGTATTTAACATTTCTTTTACAGCATATTTAACTCAAATTCACTCTCAAATTCAAATCTCTAAATATATATCATTGTAAAAAAAGTTATTTATATATATATATGTATATACAGTGGGTACGGAAAGTATTCAGACCCCCTTAAATTTTTCACTCTGTTATATTGCAGCCATTTGCTAAAATCATTTAAGTTAATTTTTTTTCCTCATTAATGTACACACAGCACCCCATATTGACAGAAAAACACAGAATCGTTGACATTTTTGCAGATTTATTAAAAAAGAAAAACTGAAATATCACATGGTCCTAAGTATTCAGACCCTTTGCTCAGTATTTAGTAGAAGCACCCTTTTGATCTAATACAGCCATGAGTCTTTTTGGGAAAGATGCAACAAGTTTTTCACACCTGGATTTGGGGATCCTCTGCCATTCCTCCTTGCAGATCCTCTCCAGTTCTGTCAGGTTGGATGGTAAACGTTGGTGGACAGCCATTTTTAGGTCTCTCCAGAGATGCTCAATTGGGTTTAAGTCAGGGCTCTGGCTGGGCCATTCAAGAACAGTCACAGAGTTGTTGTGAAGCCACTCCTTCGTTATTTTAGCTGTGAAAGTAAAATACGCACGGCACTTTTAAGCTATTTAAAAGCGAAGGAAAGCGAGGAAAAGAGGGAAAATTCAAACGAACTAAAAACGAACAATTGCTTTACGCTGAATTGCCGTTATTTGAAAGTGAAAGTAAAATGCGCACGCCGCTTTTAAAAGCTATTTAAAAGCGAAGGAAAGTGAGGAAAAGAGGAAACGCCCCTGCCCCCACGGTGATACCGGTATTATCGGTGTTGTCACACATCGATTAACCGGTGGGGAAATTTCCTCACCGTCACAACCTTAATATATAAGATATAAACATTTTGGTTTTATGATTATCTGCAGCCATGATTCTATACAGCACAAAAACATTTGTACCCTTGTGATATTGCTTCCATACAACAATTCTGTTAACAAGAAGTTAATATCCAGTAACTTTTTTTAGACAATATCCAGTCAGATTAGAGGACTGGAAATGACTGTTCAAAATCAGCCAATCCTTAAACATTAACATAAGTGGCATCGGTCCATCAAAATGTTCATTTCCAGACCAGCTCAAAAGTCTCAGGGACAACACAAGACCAACATAAGCTCAAGCCAAAACGAGGGATAGGACTCCCAAAAGCTACTTTGCTCCATTATTTGGTTTATTCAATTAGGTTAAATAACTTAAGTGGACAACAGTTCACAGAGTTTTTAGCAAATTAAAGGGAAGAAAGAAACCAAAAGGCCTTAATTTCAGTAAAGGTCTTTACAAGTAACTAAAAGCCTGTAGGTCCTCTTTCACCTCTGTTGGTTTACACCCTTTTGTTTGAGCTTCTGTCCTGTGTTTTCAGATTGAGGAGGAGCTGGCTTCTCTTCAGAAAGAGCGCACTGACCGAATCAAACACCTGTTGGATCGTCAGGAGAGAGAAATCGATGCCTTCGATATGGAGAGCCTTCGTATGGGTTTCAATAACTTGTGTGCTTTGGACTACCCTAAAGATGACTACAGATGAGACCATAACACTCCACACCATCCTCCCTCTTTCATGCTCCACTTTTCTTTTTTTTGTTGGAAGAAATCTGCTGTTTTTGCTACTGACAGTCCTTTCAATCCTCTGGGCTGGTGCCTGCACAAGCCTTACACATTTCTAGACACGTCATGGAATAACATGCTGGATAACATCCTTTAGTTGTCTCTTTTTATATATAAATATTATATATGAGACGATTAAATCTGTCAGTGTTGATGTCAATGTTTTCTCGTGCAATGATAACACTTTCAGTGTAATTACAATTAAAATAGAGATTTCAAGACAAAAGCAATATGAACAGGGGTTTGTATTGCTAATTTTAATCCAGATGCACTTGTGTGATTTAATAATCTTTTTTAACAGTTTTTTTTTTTTGCTGCCTCTTGAATCTCTATTTGGTATTTATTCACCCAGAGAAAATTAAAAATACCTTTTAAGTATAGGCGAAATTTGATAAAAGTTTGCATATTAAAGCAATGTACATATTTGATAGTTGCATCTGTGACTCTGAGATTCTTATGGTAATTGAATATGAATTTTTATTTTATTTTATTTTTTTGAGAACCCGCTGCATTCATATGTACGATACCATAATTCACCTCAGCTGAGGTGCACAATGTGAATAATACATATGTGAATCCTAACTCGTAGTACCCGCACAAAGGGCTGAAGGGGAAGGGACATGTATTTTGTGTATAGAAGGCTTTATGGAGAACTTTTACTTATTTTCCTATTACATTTTAACTGAATTTTAATTTCTTTTTATATATATATATACATATATATACACACACATCTATATATAATAAATGTTTCACCACCCTTTCCCTCCTACAGTCACTGGTGAAATTGTCTCAAAGGCCTCTCATTTCATGATTCGGGTTTCTGTTTGATTCTTGGCATCTTCTCCAGCTGTGTATTTTCTACAAAGTCCAATTAGTGAATAAAAACGCTTTACTGTCGCATGCACTTTACATTTGTTTTCAGGTTAAGAGGCATGATTCTGTCAGAGCTTTTAATTATATTTGTAAATAAAGTGCTCATCACAAAAGCAGCGTCTTTCAGTAGTCTGATTTTCTTTTCCAGGAATTTTATTCCAATGTGTTAATTTCCAGTATATAGCAGTGACAATTTTGTGAAATTAAAGGTGCAGCCATAAATACAACACAAATTTGCCTTGAATTTTATTCAAAGGTGCAAAGTTGTTGTTGTTGTTTTTTTAAACTGAAGGCAGTCTGAATGCTTCCAAGTGAAGTGACATAAAGGCATAGACTGAAATTGCTTGATCAGTTCTCTTGCAATTCAACTAGAACAAAAGAAATTCATCATTCCTACAAGGCTTTTAAAGCAAAGAACATTTTAGTTTATGAGTTTCATTTTTTAAATAGCTGAAGTGAAAATGTACTGAGTCGAGCTCTGTTCAGCAACGACAGAAATTCGCAATTATTTCCTTATTTGCCAGCAAGCTGTTCGTAAAGTTTGGGCACATAGTCGTCCCACTCTGCCTGGAAGCAAGACCCTGCGATTGGAGCACCGAGGCCGTATTTCTTGCGGAAACCCTGGATCTTGAATTTTCCACGATTATCTCCAGAACGATTGGTGAGCACGCGTTCGGTGCAGCTGATGCTGTCCGGTTGCTCATAAACCAGCCACACGTAACGATGGAGACCTGAAGAGAATCGTACACAAGTGTTATTCACCACTCATACACCAACTTCCTGATGAGATGCAACCTATTTTGCCACATTGAAGGAATATTTGACACAAAAATTTAAATTCTGTAATCATTTACTCACAGTCATGTCATTCCAAACCTGTATAATTCTTCTGCGGAACACAAAAGATGTTTTAAAGCATGCTGGCAACCAAACAGTTTCAGTTCTTACAATGGAAGGTTGGTTACAAAAAAATCTTCAAAATATCATCTTTTGTCTTCCACAGAACAAAGTCATACAGGTTTGTTTTTTTTGTTTTTTGGTGGACTAGCCCTTTAATTGCGTAATTTTATGCCAGTCAGTCTCTAAACTCTCACCTGTTCCCTTGGGGGGTCCTGCACCAACGTAGTCCGACATGACACATCCACTGGAGATGTCATTTCCTTTCATGTTGACGACAAGGAAGTGGTGCCATTCCCTAAGATAAAACAGATGAAGTAACTTGCCTTCTAACCAGTTCAAACATGTTCACACTCACTAGGGAATCCCTTTGTTTACTATTGCAGTTTGTGTTCATCTTTATTTCAGTTCTGATATGATGAATATGGCTGAATTATCTAAAACGATACCGAAATTTGGGGTCTTTTCGGCTGGGTGCATCTGGATCGGTCATGGCCAATGTGTACAGCTTACCAGGGTCACATCCCTCCCACTCAATGGATGTGGGCCGATTTTGCACCTACAAAATGAAACAACTTCAGATATAAAGTGTGAATTCATTTATATATTTTTTGTATTAGTATTACTTTTTGCACATTTATAACTGTGTACGAGGCAAACCTTTTGTTCCCCACCATTTTTAATAACCTTTTCGATTTTACATGCACTTAAACTGTCTGTCATTATGATTTTTAAATATCATTATTATTATTTTTAAATGTGGTATTTTAATTAATATGGGGTAAAAACTGCATGCATAATAATTAAAGAAAAATGCTGTTTAAAACACTTTTGGTAATTTATGTCCTATTTGACACTGATGTCACTTCTTAACATGCCAAAACGAATTTATTTGTATATGTATTTATAATATAATTTAAAATGCAATACAATTAAAATATAATAATAATTATTATTATTACTAGCACAACAGCTAACAGTTGCTTTAGACAACAGCATTTATTCTTATAAGTACTATATCCCTACTTAGGTTATGAGCAAAACTATTCTAGCAAACAATGTTGGAATTATATCTATATTTATAATACATAATGGCTTGTAATTTTATTCATTTATCAGTTCAGAACACTTGTATTCATTTGGCCTAATTTCCGTACTGCTATGCAGGTCTCTATTCTAATTAAGGCGGTGGCCCATTAATTTGTAGCTCACAATTTTTGCGAGAAGGTAATGCAGTGTCCACATTACATCACGCGATCGTGGAATTTCTAGAGAGATGCAAGTTTGGCTGAGTGCGAACCTTGCGTCCATTACATAAACAGACAAAATGCATTCATTTTTAACCCTCTTTAGTAAATGCAAATGCAAAGAAAAGGTTAATTTCCACTCATTCTGGCAAACTTAGTTAAAAAAGGATATGCAAACGCATATCAGCAAGTCAGACGTGACGCAGAACCGTTGTTACCTAACGTTACAGGCATTGGCCTAAATTCCTGCATGCGCGTGCACTGGACTCTGACCTGAGTAGGAGTGAACACTTTCCCCAGCGAGTCAATTTCCAAAGAGCCATATTTGACAGTTAGAGGCTTGGCTGGCTGTTCCTCCACCTCTGTAAGCGCTAGAGAACCTGTCCATTCATTAATATCCACAGGCATGGTGACTCAATGCTCTTGCGAGATATCAACGCAGCAGAAAAGTAGAGCTTCTGTCTCCCCCTACAGTTGTTTTATTGTGATTGTTCATTGAACTGTGTGGTCACCGGCATAGCCAATCAAATTGCCGCAGCTGACCAAGTTGTTAATTTCAATTGGTCTGACGGTCTGTCGGTATTCTTTGGCCCGCCTCCTATTCTGAAAGTTCGACTCATTTCCACGAATCGGTTCTTTCGAACACTTTAATGAACTTTGTTTTGTAACACTAGTTACTACACATAAAACAACAACCAAGGGGAACAAAGGGAAAAGCGCAAACGTAAAAATATACAAGAAGACAAATGACTTAAATAAACAAATTATTTAAATAAATTCTTTGGAAATTTGGAGCTCACGAATATATAATAAGCCTTCGCGTTATAAAGGTAATCTAAATATAATTAGCATTTTAAAATTACATTTAGAAGTAAATATTCATTTACATCATTCTATTGATGATGATATTATTATTATTATTATTATTATTATTATTATTCATGTTTAAAAAACTTTCGTATGCGTTTTGATCAAACTGATTCAGTACGATTCGTAAACATTTGATTCGTTGAAAAGTTCCGACTCAAATGAATCAGACGACACTGGACGTACAGTAAGCTGAAAGGGATCAAGTTCAACGCTTTTCTAAAGAACTCCTCGTTTTTTAAACTCGTATTTGTAGTTGATAAACCTATTAAACCAGTTGTTAAACTTAGACTCGAGCCTACCAGACACAATATCATAACGTAAAATTAAAATAAAATAAATAATAATAATAACAATGGTAAAAATTCACCCAGGCATCTTTTAAGGCACCTATAACGACTGACGGGGGTCTTTCCATGTCAATATCCGCAATTTACCTTCAGCAAATTCACTGTTCAGTTTGCTTGTACCGTATTATAGTTTTTGTTTTATTAATATCACAAAGCAAACTATTAAAGTCTCTGTCGTTAAATGACCTTGAAATTTAATTCTGATTCCAGCAGGTAAATTTGATTATGACCTCGTGGTCATTGGTGGAGGCTCTGGAGGGTTGGCATGTTCAAAAGAAGGTAACGTTAGGTGTCATCCAGTGCTGGGCAGTAACTGATTACATGTAATCTGAATTACGTAATCAGATTCCAAAAATAAATTACATTTTAAAATACTCGTAATCAGACTACAGTTACTTTTTTTATTGATTACATATTATTCACACAATATCAATACATTATTCATAATTTATTGATTCTCCCTAATTCCTCTCTTTCATCTTTTAAATGTTCCTTTCTAAAATAGCCTACTGCTTATATACATTCAGAAAGTCTTCCAGTTTTGTGGACATTCACACAGAGATCAATCACTGGTCAGGTGGCTGTAATTACACAGACAATTGAGAGGCCACACAGCATTTGATTTACAAAAATCATTTTAATTTTAATTAGTGTTTTCTCAGCATTTCAGCATTGCATCAACTACTAATGAACATTAATCTTTATTTGAATTATCACTCAGTAGGTTATTTAACCATGTTTTACTGTGTCTTTGGAAGGCTTTTGTCTTTCAAACACATTCAAATGCGCAAATTCACATTATTTATTATTTACATGTAATGCAGGGATACCCACACTTTTTTTTTTTTTGTCAGCCGGATCTATTTTTAAGACATTTATTTGAAGTCCCCCCTGAGATTTTAAGGTAATAAGTTAATAATTAAGTAACACATTTGCATGTTCACAGTTCTGTGATGGTTAATGGTCACATGACATGCAGGTAAACAAATTATTTTATTTTTTTTAGTAAGTGTTTTATTTTGATTGTTGTTATTTTATAATGATTTACAATTTTTTTTTTTCATTTTTATGATTTAATAATTAGCTTTACATTAAACTCGTGAACCCCCTGCAGTTCCTTCACAAGCCCCAGTTTGGGAAACCTTTGGAAAAGAAATGTAATATTTTTTTTTTTCTTTACATTTTTATATAAATATGGTACAAGATTATCCTATTTAAATCAATGTGATAAACTAGTTAGGCCAAAAATAATCTAAAAGTAATCAAAAAGTAATCCTACTACAGGCCCTTCTGGAATACATTGGTTCTGAATGTCATATTCAACGATACAATGCTGATAAAGTGTTTTTTGAACTTTCAATGCATCTCCTTAATTGAGCTAAGCTAAGATGTAATTTAGTGTTTTTGATGCTTGACAATTTTTTTGCTTACAGCTGCCCAATTAGGGCAGAGAGTTGCTGTCTTGGACTATGTCGAACCTTCACTAAAAGGTACATACCCACCCATTTATAGTTGTCATCATCTATCTTTTTGTTGGAAATGTGTTTATTTCGAAAACAACTAATCAGCTCATGCTGCCTTTAGGCACGAAGTGGGGTCTTGGTGGCACGTGTGTGAATGTCGGCTGTATTCCAAAGAAGCTTATGCATCAGGCGGCACTGCTTGGCACTGCTGTCAAAGATGCTAGGAAGTATGGCTGGCAAATCCCAGAATCCCTGTCACATGACTGGTGAGTTTCACGAATCTATATCAGAGACGCGTGGCATGAATGTATGTTGAGACATTGCTTATAGACAGAGCAGCTTTATTGCGGTAATCATTAGTGTAGCTTCATCCTGAACAGAGCATGTAATAATATTCATTTAATATTGAGTGGTGAGGTAGGTTTTGTTTGAAATACTACTTTCACAAGCACTTTATGAGGCACAGCACCATCTTGTGGTAAAAAAAAAAAACAGATGTCTGACTGCTCAAATGCAAAGAACAACAGTCTTTGCACTAGAGGGCACTCCAGGTCTGATTAAGAGGTTATGGTTTTACAGGTATTTTTATTTATTTTTTTTTACAAATGCTGGCCTTAAATACAACTTTCCATACATTTGCAATACCATTGCTGAGATATATTTGGCGTTCTCCTTGAAAATATTAAACTGTCTTTTTGTAAATGGATAATATAGCACTTTCAGTGGGTGTTTGACCTCCTGTTTCCCCTCAAACTTGAAAAGGAAGTGTGTCTGTGTGTACACACACATAATATAAAAACCCTACACCTCCATGAACATATACAGTAATAGCCTCTTTAATTGTTTACTCTCACATTCATATTTTATTGTTATAATAAGAGGTTTATTTGAAACTACATCTTGTTGAGATGTTTATTTCTTTTTACCAAAAGGCATTAGTATGAAAAAAATCACGTGCATGTATGTCTACCTATTTCAATGTAGCAAAATATTAAATCTCAAATGCATGTGAGGTGTCTGTAGGGATTTGCATTATTGTGGCAAGGTAAGGTCCAGTAGAACTGTAGTTTTGTGAAATATGTTTCAGGTCAGCAATGGCTGAGGCTGTCCAGAACCATGTGAAGTCTCTAAACTGGGGTCACAGAGTTCAACTACAAGACAAGTAAGATTACTATTAAAATAACATCACCTGTATGTACTTTTTTCAGTATTGTTTATAGATTTTACATAGAGACCATTTGTCAATCAAGAGCAACGTAACGGTTTATTCTTTTGGAGTTAATGATAACTATTTCTGTGCAGATCCAAGCAACCTTTTTAAAATTATCCATATAATGTCATGCTGACTTTGGCTGTTGGAAAAAGTAAATTATGTCGTTAGACTAATGTGTCAGAATCTTGGTTGTTGAACTACAGGTTGAGGGTTCAAAAAAACACTTTATCACCATTGTACCGTTGACTATGACATTCAGAACCAGTGTATTCCAGAAGGGCCTGTAGTAGGTGTACAGTGCTTCTTTCAGAGTAAAAATGGTGTATTAGCTAATTACTGAAAATAATTATGAATGATTTGGGAAGAAATATGCAGATGTTTTAGAGCAGAGTCTTTGTTTCCCAGTAGATCTCATTAGCTGTCCATCTCTTTCACCATTTCATCAGGTAATTACAGTCTGAGGCTATATGAACACAGAGAATGTGCCATCATGATAAATTGTACTAAATTTCAGCCGTCTTGCTGTATGGCTGTGAGGCAAACAGGTGTGGTGATGTCATTTCCCAGAATGCACAAAGTATATGTCTCCACATTACAGCAGAAGTGTCAGGTTGGGTTTGAATAGCAAAATTGTTAATGATCAAATTTTGTTATTGCTGTTATCGCCATAGGTTGACATGGAGAATTATGATGCCAGTAGACAACTTCAGTTCATGTGTTGGTATTTTAATGTGATATAACAATCTCTCTGTCCGATGTTACAGGAAGGTGAAATATTTGAATATGAAGGGCAGTCTGGTGGATAAACACACTATCAGTGCTGTAAATGCCAAAGGGAAAGAGGTATGATTTTGAGTTTAAAACCACTTAATTCTCTGAAATATTATTTAACCAGCAATCTGATGTGCCATGTTCTTGTTTACCCCGCATCTTTGTGTTCACAGATGACAGTGACCGCCAAAAACATTGTGTTAGCTACTGGTGGACGGCCGAAGTACCCTACACATGTAAGTGTGCTTGCCAGTGCAGGCGGGTATGTGTGGGTGTTGTCTTTCCACTATGTGACCTTGTTCTGCTGATAAGCGAGCAGCAGAGATAACTTCCTCTTGTCTAATTTTCCAAATATGAGACAATTTATATTATTCTTCCTCAGAGTTGAAAGCCTGCTATTTGTCTTTGCTTCCATTGAGATACTGGTAAAAGATAACCATATTCTAAATGATCAAGAGACCAGTAAAGGGTGGAACAAACATTTTTATTTTCCTCGGTTTGGGGTAAATAGGCAAAATATTGTACAGTTAAAGAAATGGATGCTGCTTCTTGGAGCAATTACTGTTTTGTATTGTGACATAAAAAATAAATAATAAAAAATAATAATTGAGTTTTTTTTTTTGTTTTTTTTTTACAATCATCCTTTTTTAATATTGGGAGCATTTTATTTTTTCATTATTAGTATTATTATAAACAGTAATTGTTATTTTTGAGTTTTATTTCAAAAAAGTAAATAAATAGGCAAGAAATTATAAATGTAAAGAAAGTGATGAGACATCTCAGGGCAATTAATGTTTTGCAGTGTTTTCATGAAAAATAATAATTGAGAGATTATTTTACATTCATATTAAATTAATCAAATTAAACAAATCAAAATTTTTATTTAATGTAACATTACTTACTATACATATATAGTTAAAATATGTTAAATTGGATAATGTTATTGAGGAATATTGAATTTTATTTTATCATTGTTGGTGTTATTTACAACAGTAATTGTTATTTTTGAATTTTAAGTAATGTTAATATAATATCAATATTTATATACATGGAATTGTATATTTAGTATTAGTATTGATAGTATTAATGGTTTTATTTAGATTTTAATGTTTCTATAGCTTTTAATATTATATAAAAAAAAATGATAACTATTAAATTGATTGCTGCTTGTGCTGAATATTTCATCTTTAAAATGACCTATCTGTGTGGTTCATCCTTCAGGTCCCAGGAGCCACGGAGTTCGGGATCACAAGTGATGATGTCTTCTGGCTCAAAGAGTCTCCCAAAAAAACGTAAATGACTTTTATATTGTGGACCAGACCACAGAGCAAACATGTGAGAAAACATATTCACCCATTAAGTCTGATTAAAGGAAGGCAGCACTTTGAGTGATTCAGCATCATCTCCCAGTCGTGAGAGGTCAAGAAATGTGCTTTACCTGTTGCTTTGCTCATACTTCTAATTATGCTTGTCACGTTTAGCCAGCTGCATTTGTTTGCAAGTTCATTATTATTATATTATACATTCTTTTCCAGAATGCACTGAGCAAAATACAGACTTTATTTAGAGATGAACTTCTGCTTAAACTCGCATTTTCAGTTCCTTACCCTCAACTCAAGTCACGCCAGTTACTGTCATGGCCACATCCTCTCAGACAGCTGATGTTGTTTTGCTGTTGAGCTGTCAGCTGTACAGGTGTGATTTCAGACTGTTGCCAGTAACAGTGCTCATCCTGTGGAAGTGGCAAGACCTTGGTGACTGACGGGCATGAGCAAGACTATTGGCACGCATGCCCGAGAGGGCGAAGGAAAAGCTTTTACATTGACTTGTGCAGTCGTTTCCACCAAAACAGCAGAGCATCTGTCAGGACTGATGACATACTGTATGCTTTGGATTCTCAAGACTACCAAATGATGCATTCAGTTTGATATCAACCCTTGGGCTCATTACATAAACGTCAATGTTGAAAAGAACTTGTTTTGAAGGAACCAGGTGACTATTTTGCCTGTGGTTCAGGTGTCCAATAGGCCTCGGGACCCACAGATGCTCATGCAGTAAATAGTCCTCTGTCCTGTTAGCTCTTCTCTGCTCTGCTGAAATGAAAGGAGGCTCAGTCTGGGCAGACGTTAGGGAAGGCACAGCATGAACTTGCTGATCTTATCATGGTTAGGGTTATTATAGAAGTGCTGCCCAAGGTTGACTGAGTCTACAGTATCCACAGTTCCCACACACTCCCCAGGATGAACTCTCCCTCCTGCTATTCATGCATGAATGTAGAAGCTAGTAGGACTTTGACCAAAGAGAATGTTATGCTAGGCCTAACAGTAAATGGCTGCAGTTATTTAAGGACGTTAAAATATGACCTGATTTTTTTTTTTTCCTATTTTACTTATTGAGTGAAAATAAATTTATGGCAGAGAGAGGTAATGTGATTCGGAAACATGACCGTGGATTCAAACTGGGGTGAGAATCAGCAGAGACATGGTGATGTGACATTATATCTGGATCATAATATGATTATGATATGTGACCCTGGACCACAAAACCAGCCATAAGGGTCAATTTTTCGAAACTGAGATTTATAGATCATCTGAAAGCTGAATAAATGAGCTTTCCATTGATGTATGGTTTGTTAGGACACTATTTAGCCGAGATACAACTATTTGAAAATCTGGAATCTGAGGGTGCAAAAAAATCTAAATATTAAGAAAATCGCCTTTAAAGTTGTCCAAATTAAGTTCTTAGCAATGCATATTACTAATCAAAAATTAAGTTTGAATATATTTACAGTAGGAAATTTACAAAATATCTTCATGGAACATGATCTTTACTTAATATCCTAATGATTTTTGGCATAAAAGAAAAATCAATAATTTTGACCCATACAATGTATTTTTAGCTATTGCTACAAATATACCCCAGCGACTTAAGACTGGTTTTGTGGTCCAGGGTCACATATGATTATGCAATTATTTTGTTTAATGTGTAGTTATTTAAAATTGTGATATTGCATACTTTCATGCACTTTTTCATTCATCTGAATTGGGCTATGCATAATTATGTTCTTATGCTCAGTCTAAGATTGGATTATGATTAAATAGAACAAATATAATGTGTTTTTACAAAAAGTAATTTAGTTTAATCTGTGAGGGGCCATATAACATTATACATCATACTTCTATATAACATATCTAAATTATTATTATTATACACTATTGAAGCGTTTGGAATAATTGAGTTTTAAGTCTCTTATGTTCACCAATGCTGCATTTATTTGATCAAAATATTGTGAAATATTATTACAATTTAAAACGACTTTTTTTTTAATTTTAATATACTTTAAGAGGTATTTATTATTTTTTTATTTATTATTTAAAAATGATATTATTTGTTTATTCATGTGATGGTAAAGCTGAATTTTCAGCAGCCAATATTCCATAAAAATTAAGGATCATGTGACACTGAAGACTGAAGGAATCAGAATCATTAATTCTGATTCCTTAAATAATTTTTTTAACTAATAATATTTCACAATTTTGCTGTTTTTACTTTAGTTTTGATCAAATCATTGCAACATTGGTGAGCATATATGACCTCTTTCAAACACATTACAAATATTTATTAACATTAAACATAAATAATAAATAACAAATAATTAAACATAAAAAAATGATTAATAAATCAAGTTATTCTTTATTCTACATATTTGACCAGTATATATAACCGATTAAAATTTAGAGGATGTGTGTGAACATGCAAATTGGCTCAACATTTTTAGATGTTAATTTTAAGGTTTTAAATTATTAAATGTATTATTAATTATGAAATGTATTAAGTAATACATTACTAATTTCAGTAATGAAAATAATTTCAATAGATTTCAATATGTTGTCAATATATTATTATATGTGAAGGGAGAAGAAGTGTTACCTATACAAATGCAAATCAATGCAATGCATTTAGGTCTCATGTATCCTGTATTAGTCATTCTATGTTAACTGAAATGTCCCTTATACTAATCCAGACAGAAGGTTTTTAGCCCATGTCATTCCTGATCATCAGACTTTTTGCACTGTGGCAGGTAGGAGCTCAGGTGTTTTGTTGATAAAACAGCAGAAAAGAGGTCTGAGATTTTGCTCCTAATCCCTCCATAAGCTGCCACACAAAAGAGCAGTAAGTGCAGATGTGCATTAGCAGTGTTGTACACCGAATGCGCGTGATGTTGCATTGGCGTAAGTGGGTATCACTCAGCAGTAACGTGTAGGAACATCCTCGAGGATTAGACCTTGTGTTAACAATTAGACTTCGCCATGACCATGAATCTCAGGGCGGATTAAAGCTGATGTTGGACGTCGACCACACACACAGTCATTTTATTGTTTTATTGTGTTAAAGTGGTGTGCAACATTTTAGTATCATTTATTTTTACATAATGTTTCCTACGTCCTGTGACTGATTTACTTACTCTTTCGCATTTGTTTGTTTGTCGTTGTTATGTGACAACATTGTTCATGTTGCTCATCTGTGATCTCATTAATTGCTGTTTTCTGTGTGTTTCAGGTTGGTTGTTGGTGCCAGTTGTATCCTTGACAGCCCACTTATTGTAAAGGCGGAGTGTCTACTTACACAGATGACTCTATTAGAAGAAACTCAATGATTTACATGTTCAACCAATTGCTGATAAATCGGCTGAAGATGAAAACCATGTTAACATGAGATTTTGTTTTTAGTCTGTTTCTCTTTACCAGAATGAAAGTGAAAAAAGTGAAAGTGACGTGACATGTGGCCAAGTATGGTGACCCATACTCGGAATTAGTGCTCTGCA